CCACCATTTTTTTCTTAAAATGTCCTGTACCAAGTCAGGAAAATGGCAGTTGTTATCTTATAGTTCGTTTCTCTGTGTGTTGCATTGTCGTTTGTCTTTTGTTCACTTCAGTGTTTCTGTTGTTTCGTTGTTTTCCTCTTATAGTTGATGTGTTTCCCTCGGTTTTAGTTTGTAACCGGGATTTTTTTTGCCTCAATCGATTTATGACTTTCGTACAGCGGCATACTACTGTTGCCTTTATTTAGCCATGACAAATTGTTTAAACATTTCATTCTAAAATAGTGAAAACCAAACAATAAATAGTATGCCAATATTACGCAGATTAGATATAATGAGAATAAATTGTAATGGTAATGTTAGCAATTTTATAGAAACTGGAATTACCTGAATCAGACCACTCTTACTGAATCGTTTAAAGCTTCGATTCTGATTCATGTATTTATAACAATGATGTTTCTTGCTTGCTACCTCCAATTGTTAAACTAATTATAAAAGACACAGATTGAGATATTACAAAATACTTGCAAAAACGAAGTTCTGGTTTTCAAACAAGCACATAACATTTTACTTGAGACAGCTCTGGATTATAAAGTCTAAAACAAAGTATATAATTCGTATTTTTTACATGCGTTGCCAATGGCTTTAACGGCGAAAGCAGGTTTAGAAAACCTTTCGATTTCGTCTGTCATTTCGTCTTTCGAAAGACCTTGGGGAAGCAATTTTCGTAAACTGCGATGGAATTAAAACAGTGGGATGATAATAATAAACTATGAGTCATCTGATTTAGAAGTTAAAAGATAACATTTTTGCAATTCAATACAATATACAATAGACTGGGAACAAACTGCTGATCATTGACTTACTTACATAATTGTAAGTTTACTATAAACTAATGATACTCATTGAAAAAAGATGTACTCAGGGCAAAATATTTATATCTTTCATATAACGTTCTGCTGCTCACAAGGATTGAAAAAAGAGAATACCAAATGTAAAAAACTCCAAAGTATATTAACAAATCTATGTCCACTTATACTTAAAACATTTAGAAAAAAAAACAATTCAGTGTTTACACATGATTTTGATCAGTAAGGAACAAAATATAGGTCCGCGGTAAGGAACGTATTCCCTATAGAACAACTATTATCATACGGGTTAAATGGAGACAAACATTGGAAAAATTAACTATATTAAAATACAGAACAACAGTAGACAACCACTGACTATGCTCTGGACTTTGGACAGTCCGGTTTTTCTTTATTTCTTTTTAACGCTCAATCCTTGAAATAATTTTCTGTACACGTTCGAGTACTTATCTAATATACATGTACATATGTCATTCTTCTGTTGTTTGTATCGCCTTTGGAGATTTAAAAAAAAAGTTTTATCCTAGGCTTTTGATCTTGAACATATCAGATTACCCTTAAACAGTGTCAAAACATGCATTCATGACTAATGCGCATGTGCATAAAATAATAAGCAGTATAAAACAGATAACTATTAAATTAAATTGTCATAGCTTTACGGACAACCAAGTATTTTTAGATTACAATTTAAATTAAAGCAAACATTCTTTAATCATGGTAAGTACCTTTATGTAACAATTTATTAGTTGTAAATAACTTTCAAATGATTATGACCATAGCAACCCAAATGTTTTTGTCTGCGTTTAATTACACGTGAAACATATTATCCTTAAGAGAGTGACATGCCTTGGTGACGGAATACGTAATAGCTAATTGCACGTCTGATTCTGATTAATTATGGACCCTGGAATAATCTCGTAAACCGTGCCGTTTTATTTGACGTAATATATATGGACTTGTCAAAATTGTAAACAATCGGATTTTATTATTTTTTTATGATGAGCACCAAGGAAGACCATCATGCTATTTAATCAAATGTAAGATATATAACAGTTGATGGTTGAACATTTCAGGATGGTCTTCGTTGGTGCTGATGTCAAATGTATTCATCAAACATTATTAAATTGTAGATTTTTGACACTTTTTCGTCGATCATAGCCTTTTCAAGGTCACAGGTTGCACAGATATGAGCACACAATACAACAAAATAAGGTGCTACGTAGACAAGCAAATACTACAGATCATGTCACATGCATTTTTTCGTTGGTTACTACTTATCATGGATTCTTGAATCTGAAAAAAAATTATGATTTAATTTGACAATAGTTTGCTGCGATGGAATTAAAACCGTGGAATGACAATAATAAACTATGAGTCATCTGATTTAGAATTTTAAAGATAACATATTTACAATTCAATACAATATACAATAGACTGGGAACAAACTGCTGATCATTAACTTTATGTTCTCCTTACTTAATTATAAGTTTACTATAAACTAATGATACTCATTGAAAAAAGATGTACACAGGGCAAAATATTTATATCTTTCATATAACGCTCTGCTGATCACAAGAAATGAAAAAATAGAGAATACCAAATGTACAAAACTCCAAAGTATATTAACAAATCTATGTCCATTTATACTTGAAACATTTAGAAAAAAATCAAATCAGTGTATACACATGATTTTGATCAGTAAGGAATAAAGTATAGATCCGGGGTAAGGAATTATTTAGATTGTTCTGCAATTGTTTACAAATCATAAAAATCAAAATTGAACCCCTCTTATTTCCCCATAGCTAACAACCCTCTGCCTTTCAATTCTAACTGGTTCCGATAATGATGAAGTTTGCTAACTAAACTATGCAAAGTTTACCTCTAGGGTATTCAATAATATAAACATTATATAAAATGAATTATTTTATCATTTGATGATGTGAGAGTAATAGTCTAGTAATAGAATAACAATTTGGTCTGTCATTAAGATAGGAAACACAAAAGAACTAAGAAATTACCTATACAAGACAGACATACGCTATGGGAGATGGAACAAGGGTGCAAATAACAAAACGGTCATTCAACACCCACAAAAATGATAATATTAATAAAAAAAATTAAAATCAAACAGTTTTAAACCCATTATGACATTTTTGCAATTGAATCAAAATTTTACCGGTAGTTTGGAAACTGCAACTAGAATACTGCAGTTACCTTATTTTATTCAGTCATTGCTTGATAAACACAAATTTTTTTCTCTTGTAATCGATCTATTACTAGTTAAAGAGTTTGCTATGCTTTTAGTGTAATGAAATAACAATTCATTCTATGCCTTTTAAACTACGAACAATTAGAATTTTTTTCTTTTAAAACATTGATTGTATAAGAGGGTAAAAACGTACAAATTTGATATAATATATTTTCTGAAAAGAGATTGGGGTTTATTTTAATACTTTTATTTCCTATAGAACAAATATTATAGCATACAGGCTAAATAGAGACAAACATCGGAAAAAATAAACAATATTAAACTACAGAATTACAGAACACAACCACTGACAAGGCTATTGATTTTGGACAGGCACATGAAAAGATCAAGCTTTTTCAGCCTTCAATCCTTGAAATAATTTTTTGCATACGTTCGAATCCTAATTCTATCTACATGTACATATACCATTCTTCTGGGATTTGTATCGCCTTGGGAGATTTTAAGAAACATTTTATCTTAGGCTTATGATCTTAAACATATCAGATTGCCGCGTAACAGTATCAAAACCTGCATGCATGACTTATACGCATGCGCATTAAATAATCAGCAGTATAAAATAAAAACCTATTTAATTAAATGTTATAGCTTTACGGGTAACCAAGTGATTAAGATTACAATTTAAATTTAAAACAAACATTCTTCAATTATGGTAAGTACCTGTATGTAACAATATTTTTTATGTTAATAACTTATTCAAATTATTATTAATATTTCATTTAAGAAAAAGGTTTTTATATTGATAATAATACCATGGAACATTTTTTTCTCAAATGTAAATGTTTAACAAACAACGAACATTGTGACTTTTTCTAAAGAATTGCAAGTCAAAGAATCGACAGCAACATCACACGAGGCATCAATATAATCGTCTTTATACGGTTTTCATTTATGACAAGGCACCCACAACCACTAGTGACATCTTCGGGTAATTTTTTAAATAAAATTGTCTAAATGATTTCCGTAGGCGTAACATGTGTTTCACGGACGACATTTATCAGGTATACTCAAGACCAAAATTTTGGAAAAACACAAATATAAAACTGTTTAAAAAATCACACTAAACCAATTGAACTGATTTTTGTTCGTTGGTTATAACTAGTTTATTAATAAACGAAAACAATTGTTTGACAAGCCATGCGTTTTCAGAATTAAGTTTGAAAATTTACCCGAATAATTCAGTCGTTATATTATGCTTACTAACGATTTCTTCTTTTCAAATTATTAAGTCTATTGGCCGCTAGAGTAACTCAGATCACTCGATTTTTTTTTAGACGGGTAAAAAGAAACAATTTAATTCAATTCAAAACGCTCTTTAAAATAAAAATTATCAAAAACAAATTCCGGAAATTGAAACAATCTATTTTTCAAACTACCCCCACTCCCCTTATTTTCCAGAAGGAGAACTTGGCACGCTTTGAAAAATGGTAGCAATTATGGATGACCTCTAAGGATCTACAAATTTAGTAAACCCTTTTCCAAGAAATAAATCTATATATGTATACATATTAGCAGAATCAAATAGTGTTACATGTATTGTTATAAATGTATATTCATTAATTAACGTATGTCGATATATATTAGGTAAAATAATGCAGACAAGGTATAGCATAGAAATAGAAATATCAAATTATATGCAATTATACAGTTTCAGTTCCAGACTGATGATTTTAGTTATACATGTAAAGAGTACAGGCACAAAAGTCGTATAAGCACATCTTATCACACATATAAGAACCTTTATGTTCACATTCTTGTATATTTTCTGTTTGATTTCCACCGATCATAATAAATTCTACTACATAACGCTTCAAATAAACCACCGAACACATCTAAATACATACATGTACAATTCATTTTTATTTTAGAATCACTTTGTATTTCGGGTTTTGTGTATTGTGCTAGTGGTGGTCATTAACTCTGAGATAGGTAAGTTCTGATTATTCATATTTAAAGATAATGAGGTTTTATAAAACATTTTCTTCAAATTTCGGAAAAGTACAAGATTATGCTTTTGACTCTAAAACTAACAAGTTAATAAGTAACTTCTTTATCAGAAAGATGGGCCGGTGCATGCTAAATTTTGTATCTTCAAAAATGTTGATGTTCATCTTTTTGAATTGCGCAAAAATGTTTCTGCCCATTTAAAGGTTTATATATGTATAAAAGAATAATTGCCCTGTCTTCAATTTTTACAGCAATAATGATTAGCTTTTTTTTTTTTAAAAATATATTATTATCAGGATTCACCAAAGAGACTGGAGGTCGAGTACATATGTAACAGCCACTATGTTCCTTCAGTTACTTTGTTCCGGCGGAATTTTTCAACTACTTATTTCGTTCCGATGGAACTTTCCAACTAGTTGTTTTATTCCGAGTGCAGTCGAAAAGTTCCGGAAAAAAGTAGCTAGTTGAAAAGTCCCGGAACAATGTAGCTAGTTGAATAGTTCTGACGGAACAGAACAACTAGTTACATCGTTCCGAATATACCGTATTTCGTCCTTTTTGTAGAAAGAGGGGCAAGAATGAGTATCAGTATATATAAGAGCAAATCATTAATTTACAAGAATACCCAACGCACTGAAAGGGGTTTCTTTGGGGACAAATATGAAAAAATTTAAGTTGTATTTCATAGCTCACATAAAACGGAATAAGTTGCATTATCATGCAAATTTAGTATTCATAGTAAGAATACCTTTTGGAGTTCATGCAATAATGAATTATTATAACTACCATTAACCTGCACGAATAACTACATATGCACGCATGTATTTGATGAACAATAATATTTTTTTAGTTATCAAACATTTCTTCTTCAAAGTCAATCAAATTTGTTGAAATGAGATTTGAGTACAAATAATGATTGATAATAATTTTACGAATGCTCATATAAAAATGATAAAACAATAATTCTAAAATCAATCGATCGCATACATAATTTTTTTGAATGTTTCTTATACCGACGTTGAAATCTAAATTAATTGATATCAACGAGGTACCACATACGAAAGGAGAACGTAAACATTATCTTATCATGCACACGTCGCGAAATTTTCATAAATACTGATGCTGTATTCGTCAATAATGTAACATGCACATTGTAAAGTGGGGTAAAATTAGCCTTAATAAAAAAAACGGGTATATTTCGTATTTTCGTGAATGTACATAATAAAAATGAAAATTATTTTATTGCAGAGACAAACATGCGTAAAATCAAAATTTAAACTGACTTTCATTACAAATGAGACTGTATTGGATGATTTTGAACCAGCGCAAATGCATTTTTTTATGATTTTAAAATATAGAAGTGCAAACAAAAAGACCAAGGGAAATTTTGAATACTGTAAATTCACAAAGTATTGTGAGGTTTTTATTAATTCGAATAATGCGATTTGGTGAGTATCGCAATCATAATAACTTTCATTCTGATATCTGATACATATATCTGTTTAACGCTTTTCCGCAAATCGCAATAATTAATTTCGCATTTTTATTCATTATTCAAAATTTGCAATAATAAATGCATGCAATATTTTCAGTTACTGTAATATTCATATTTTTAGGAGCCAGTGTAGCTTACGGTGGAGATTGTTCGAGTACCGCATGTACTGATACAACAACTAATGAATGTATCGACGATTTGTGTGCATGTGCCACCACTCATTTCAGAAATAATGATGACAGCGCATGTGAAACAAGTAAGTATTGTGATAAAATTGGTTAAGTGTCTCATCAAAATATCCTTGTTTTTTATATCTTTTGAAGTGATCTACTGTTGTTTTAATCACATTACATTAATGATACAGATATTAAAAGATAACCCACATCTTTAAAAAGGTCAAAATGATAACAATTAGATATATCGGGTCTGGACCTGAGTCGCTGCGTACAATTTATTGAGGTAGCATGTATACTGAAGCATTACTGATCATTCCCTTTCATTAAAAACCCCCAAAAAATGTGAAGACATTTTTTTCAAGTACAATCTACGATCAACAGAATAAAGAAACAGGAAGCGTCGACGGGGTGAGCATAAACTGCTGTATGTGCATCATCCGCCATGCAATTTCAGACTCATTTTGCTTGTAACAATATGAAATGTGTTCAACACCGCCACATGTTTGTTAAAATCAAAACAAGCTTAACAAAATGATTTGTTGCTAAAAAAAAAACCAAAAAAAAAACATCCACAGTAACACACGAATCACCGTCCTCATACGTTACAACCAATGTATGTATAAAACCATGTTGAAAGTACATCATAAAAATGTAGGAACAAATCTCATTACATTTACGTTTTTATTGTTTTTTTTATGCAAGTATCTAACGATACAAACTTTTCTTTCCCGAGTTCTGGTAATACATTGTAGTACCGTCTTTATAAAATACCGGTTTCGTCTGAAAATTTTATACATGGATATATAATAAATAGTTTTCCCTTTACTAAATGCTAATAATTTATGCAATAGGGAGTGTTTCTTAATAGAGGATATTTAAGATTTGTAAAGTCTGACACTGAATTAAGGTGTGAAAGCGGTGTGATCAACATGGCCGTCAGAGGGTTTTTACTAGAATTTATTTAATAAAATTATGTTTCGTCAAATCTGATCATGACAATAAAATGATCCTGGAAACAGACAGCTAATAAGTGCCAGTCTTTGTTGGAATTGGTACCCAAACATACATAGCTAGCCTATTATTTAGAATATATATATTTCGAATAAATTATAATTTCCTTCAAAAGAAAACACAGCTCGTTCACCGAAACAAAATTGCAACAAGTTACTTACAAATTCCTTTATCTTTGATATACTGTCTGAATCTTGGTGTCCCTGTTATCTTTGCTTCGGTAGATTTAATTTCGTCCGTGAGTAAAACCACCGTCAAGACCATACGCGTATTGTCCAAACATTCATATGGTCTGGAACAAAATTTCTTTGCTTATATATAGAGATTCTTACATTGTTACCAGTGGGTTATCGGATTTATCCAATCGAGATAGGTAAATGATCGAGATTGTACAAATCCGATAATCCACGAGTAACATGAGTAACTATGTAAGAATTGATCTCTAATGATTATCAAATACATTTTCATTTTTGATGAACGAAAATCCCCTTCGAGTGCCTTCCATATTCCTGATTTCTACGTCAGATGTAAATTTCTCCTACACCTGTTACCACATTTCGATTCATCCATAGAGCTGATAAAGGTTATTACCTTTTAACTTAGCCCATCATCTACTGAGATGATCGGCAATTACACGTTGATTAAGTATTTTAAACCATGGGTCCAAGAAGGATTAAATTGCCATAGAATGAGAGAAAGTAGTTTATTAACTTATAATTACGGGCATTTCGTTAAGCGAATTTTCCAGTGCCAAACCTTAAAAGTATTCACAATTTAATACCATATCATGCACATAAACATGAACGCGAAGTTCTAGAATTTAATTATATATATACTAGCAAAATTTAAGTATCGGTTATTCTATGAAAAGGTATGTACTATGAAATTTAGAGCAAGGGGCTTGCCCCGAGTACTTAAATCATGGTATATACCTTTTCATTGACTTTCCAATTTAGCACATATTTACAACTCAAGTAATCTTTTAATTGGTCTGTTGATAGTTTTTTTTTTTGGCTGACTACTTGTATTACAGGTGTTTGTAAAACAGAGTTCATTGACTAAATTTCATGTTTTGTAAATTTACTCAGTGACAGTGATTTACCAGATCATGAGTTTATAAATGCACCAAACACGAATTGGGAAAATAGCGGTTTATATTTCAATTTCACATTAAATATGTGATTTTAATAGGCCCTTGACTCCATAATGGAAAGATAGTAGCTGCTGGTGTAAATATGTCTATTAATATAAAGCAGTGTCTTAATACGTGTACTTCTTTTCGTGGTAAGTTGACAAAATAAATTGACCAAAAAACTGGCATATATAATTAAATTGCAGAGGGAGTCCTACAAGTTTTGAAAACCTTTTTTCAATTTGACAGTAAAACTAAAGCTATAATGAATTCGAAAAAATAGATATATGTGCCCATAGATAGTCTAGCGGATAGGCATTAAAAAGCTACTACCAATAGATCAAAGTTTATAGTTTTATTATTTATTTATTTTTCAAAATAAAAACTTTAAGCTTTATCAGAATATAAATATAGGTGGCACATTCCCTTCAGACATTATCACGATTTTTCAATTCATGATGATATGGATAAAGTTCCTCAAAAAAGTTAAAAAAAAAATCATCATCAAGTTGCCTTAATTTCCCTTCACAAGGTTTCATAGTACATGCTATTTTTACTTTTTTGTGTACACAGTAATTGCATGGATGATAAATTAGCAAAATGATAAGATAACGTTGTACTCTAATCAAGGTATTGAGGACCATATTTGTTATTCTTGATTTAGATGATAGAAACTTGCATTTGTCAAAAATATTTTTTAAAACCAAAGATTTTAATAGCAGGATACATAAAAATCAATGTGAAAACTAGTTACAAACATTGTTATTTTTTTGGGACACAGCATTTTAATCTAAAATAGCCAGTGGCAATTCTTGTTTTCAATATCTTGATTAGGATACAGTGAAATCTTACCATTGTAGTCATTCATGCATAGTTACTTAGTACACGGGAAAAGTATGTACTATGAAACTAAGAAGGCAAATTCAAGCAATTTGATTGGACGAGAAGTTGTAAGTATGGGCTAAACAAATTATCTACTCAGATTTGAATTCTTTTTCATCAATATTGCATGTTCATTAGAATGAAAAAGATAAGGTTTTTGTAAATAATTTGAACGGCAATAATTATTATTTTCATATTTATTATTTTTAGTTATTTTTATCATTATTTGTTCACTTATAACAATCATACATGTAGGAGCATTACAGGTACGACTTTCTTAGCACAGCTTTGATTTACATTCTATGAAATACCATATGATAGTCATTAAAAAGTCATAGAATCTGTCTTAAGATATATCTTAAGCTAGTTCCCTTTATTCTATGTTTTACCGACGAAAACATGTTGTAATCTAGAAATTATATATGTATTTTTTGTTTTATTTACGAAATACTTTTGACATTTAAAAAAGTTGTCTTTTTATGTATGTATTAGATGTCTGTTTTAATGAAAGTGTTTCATAACTCGTTTTCGGCTAGCATTCTTTTACTAAATGTTAGGTTCTTATGACTTGATATATATATATATATATATATCTGTAACTGATGGTGACACTTTAATCAAATAAATTATCTGTCTTATCTATCTATATATCTATCTATCTTATGATATATCTTACTAGGATACTTTCGAAAACAAGGTCACCGGCTAACCCGGATGAATTGCACAACTGCTTCTGTCCGTAATTGATTGACATGTGTTCTAGTGTGGTTAGATAAACACACCTGTCAATTAGTAACTGACAATAACAACATCTTCAAGTCAGATTAGAATCTGACTATCTAGTATATTTTTCCATCGTTTCTGAAACGCAACTTAATTTAAAGTGTCCTGCTCTTTTTTCGATTCTTTATATACAGTTTTTTGTTAGGCAAAAGCTTAACAAATTAAATGGGCCACCTTCATTCTAGGAACTATGTGTGTATTTATGGACTTTTTTCTGTACCCCTCATTGTCACTGTATCCGTATATGGGATTGCTAGTCTTTCGCGCTTTACAAACCGATGATTAGGCTTACAGCAGTTTAGATACATATGTGTACATAATGGAAAGCTTATAATTGGATTATAGATAACAAATTGTTTATTTTCGAAACTATCGCTTGATATAAAGATAAAATGTTTTTATACCCATATCAATATATGATATCGCTGCAATAAAAAAAAGTACAGAATAACGCCAGTGAATGAATTTATTACTAATGACACAAATTTGTTGCGAAATCATTGACGTATATCTGATAAAAGTGAATCATAGTTAACGTTATCTATAAATGAGGGATAGGGATTAATAAACTCGTCAAAGATCATTTTTCTATTTGCCAATTATTGTCAGATTGTTTATATAAAAATAAGAAGATGTGGTATGATTGCCAATTAGACAACTGCCCGCAAGAGAAGAAATGACATAAAAGTAAACAACTATAGGTCAGCGTATGGGCCTTCAACAATGAGCAAAACCCAAATCGCATAATCAGCTATAAAAGGCCAAGAAATGACAAATGTAAAACAATTCAAACGAGAAAACTAAAGGCCTGATTTATGTTCAAAACAATGAACGAAAAACAAATATGTTCTTTTGATATAACATTATAATTATATACAACTGTACATGACAGACAGAGAATTGGATGTTCCATGGGTTTATTTGTCACTGCTAGCATGGTTTGTGTTCCTTTGATTTATTTTCCAAAAAAAAATATGTTTAAATTATTTAATTACTTTGTTAGAACTTTGCTATCTAAATACAATTGTATAGACTCATAATTTAAAAAAAGATAATATTTACAATTACAGAAATTGGCTTTGAAACAAGTTGCGATAACACAGTCACTGCAACCGATCAATGTTCGGTAGCCAATCAGGAATGCAGTCTCGAAAGTGGCACTACTTATAAATGTCTGTGTACAGCCGCCTACTATTCAGCTGGAAGCGCTTGCGTAGCCAGTAAGAATAAAAATATAGACAATATTTTTTAACTAATTACTCGTGTGTCAATTTTAAAAGACTAATCAATACTTTTCGTTTTTGCTCTACCAAGAGGTGCATACATGTACTGTTTACTGAAATAATATTTAAACACCGATTAGTTGAAAATGCTTATTGGGTTCTAATGTCATATTTCATGAATAATAATTAGTGTTTAAGCCGTGTTATTTTGTTTTTGTGGGAAGTTATAAGTTCTTTGTGTATATGGTAGTACAGTATAATCTTATTAAGCGGAAGTAAACTCCGTACTTAAAAATATTTGAATAATTTCTGTTATTTAGGATACAGTGAAATCTTACCATTGTAGTCATTCATGCATAGTTACTTAGTACACGGGAAAAGTATGTACTATGAAACTAAGAAGGCAAATTCAAGCAATTTGATTATACGAGAAGTTGTAAGTATGGGCTAAACAAATTATCTACTCAGATTTGAATTCTTTTTCATCAATATTGCATGTTCATTAGAATGAAAAAGATAAGGTTTTTGTAAATAATTTGAACGGCAATAATTATTATTTTCATATTTATTATTTTTAGTTATTTTTATCATTATTTGTTCACTTATAACAATCATACATGTAGGAGCATTACAGGTACGACTTTCTTAGCACAGCTTTGATTTACATTCTATGACATACCATATGATAGTCATTAAAAAGTCATATAATCTGTCTTAAGATATATCTTAAGCTAGTTCCCTTTATTCTATGTTTTACCGACGAAAACATGTTGTAATCTAGAAATTATATATGTATTTTTTGTTTTATTTACGAAATACTTTTGACATTTAAAAAAGTTGTCTTTTTATGTATGTATTAGATGTCTGTTTTAATGATAGTGTTTCATAACTCGTTTTCGGCTAGCATTCTTTTACTAAATGTTAGGTTCTTATGACTTTATATATATATATATATATATATCTGTAACTGATGGTGACACTTTAATCAAATAGATTATCTGTCTTATCTATCTATCTATCTATCTATCTTACGATATATCTTACTAGGATACTTTCGAAAACAAGGTCACCGGCTAACCCGGATGAATTGCACAACTGCTTCTGTCCGTAATTGATTGACATGTGTTCTAGTGTGGTTAGATAAACACACCTGTCAATTAGTAACTGACAATAACAACATCTTCAAGTCAGATTAGAATCTGACTATCTAGTATATTTTTCCATCGTTTCTGAAACGCAACTTAATTTCAAGTGTCCTGCTCTTTTTTCGATTCTTTATATACAGTTTTTTGTTAGGCAAAATCTTAACAAATTAAATGGGCCACCTTCATTCTAGGAACTATGTGTGTATTTATGGACTTTTTACTGTACCCCTCATTGTCACTGTATCCGTATATGGGATTGCTAGTCTTTCGCGCTTTACAAACCGATGATTAGGCTTACAGCAGTTTAGATACATATGTGTACATAATGGAAAGCTTATAATTGGATTATAGATAACAAATTGTTTATTTTCGAAACTATCGCTTGATATAAAGATAAAATGTTTTTATACCCATATTAATATATGATATCGCTGCAATAAAAAAAAGTACAGAATAACGCCAGTGAATGAATTTATTACTTATGACACAAATTTGTTGCGAAATCATTGACGTATATCTGATAAAAGTGAATCATAGTTAACGTTATCTATAAATGAGGGATAGGGATAAATAAACTCGTCAAAGATCATTTTTCTATTTGCCAATTATTGTCAGATTGTTTATATAAAAATAAGAAGATGTGGTATGATTGCCAATTAGACAACTGCCCGCAAGAGAAGAAATGACATAGAAGTAAACAACTATAGGTCAGCGTATGGGCCTTCAACAATGAGCAAAACCCAAATCGCATAATCAGCTATAAAAGGCCAAGAAATGACAAATGTAAAACAATTCAAACGAGAAAACTAAAGGCCTGATTTATGTTCAAAACAATGAACGAAAAACAAAATTATATGTTCTTTTGATATAACATTATAATTATATACAACTGTACATGACAGACAGAGAATTGGATGTTCCATGGGTTTATTTGTCACTGCTAGCATGGTTTGTGTTCCTTTGATTTATTTTCCAAAAAAAAATATGTTTAAATTATTTAATTACTTTGTTAGAACTTTGCTATCTAAATACAATTGTATAGACTCATAATTTAAAAAAAGATAATATTTACAATTACAGAAATTGGCTTTGAAACAAGTTGCAATAACACAGTCACTGCAACCGATCAATGTTTGGTAGCCAATCAGGAATGCAGTCTCGAAAGTGGCACTACTTATAAATGTCTGTGTACAGCCGCCTACTATTCAGATGGAAGCGCTTGCGTAGCCAGTAAGAATAAAAATATAGACAATATTTTTTAACTAATTACTCGTGTGTCAATTTTAAAAGACTAATCAATACTTTTCGTTTTTGCTCTACCAAGAGGTGCATACATGTACTGTTTACTGAAATAATATTTGAACACCGATTAGATGAAAATGCTTATTGGGTTCTAATGTCATATTTCATGAATAATAATTTGTGTTTAAGCCGTGTTATTTTGTTTTTGTGGGAAGTTATAAGTTCTTTGTGTATATGGTAGTACAGTATAATCTTATTAAGCGGAAGTAAACTCCGTACTTAAAAATATTTGAATAATTTCTGTTTGAGTCATTACAAATTCAGTTTTGTGTCTGTATTAGTGATTTTTATTTACATACATTTAGTAACAGGGCACATGCAAACATCATTTAATATCTATACTTTTAGATCTGGTTATTATTTTATGTACCTTTGATCAAATAGCTCTTCACGTATTTATATTGTTATACTTTCTTGGCTTTCAATATTTTTGGTATCAGCATTCCCGACAAAGCGCTTCGGAGGCAAAAAATTCAAAAAGTGTTATTTTCACATGATTTTAGACCACATGTTCTAAAAATAAACGATCAATTTACTGAATTTACCTTATTCATTTTGTTTTTCATATCGAATGCCAAACTGTATAAAAAGCTACAGTTATTTGCCTGTCCCCAATATATAGACCATATAACAAAAGTTAACGAACACTTAACTGTGTGCAGGGTACACTAAGAATTGTCTTTACTTCGAAATACATGTATTTAAAAACTCGATAACTCACGAATGTTAAATTGGGAAATATTCTTATATTAAAGGTTTGCTTGTAATACTATAAATAAACATTTTGTAAAGATATAGTAATGATGTCTTGTAAGTAAATAACCCACATTTCAGTGAGTGATTGCACGAACCTCATATATCCTAATGAACTTGATATTAAGGATACTACAAAAACTGATAGGTCTGCTGGATATCTTGATCTTTTCATCGATATTAATTATTTGTGTTTCTCCTCGATTGATTTTTTTTCTTTCGAGAATTCGGAGAGTATGTTACATATCTTTGATATAATCAATGATAATGTGTTTCGTTCACAAATGTAGACTCAGGTGTTCAATTGACAGTTTGACGTACTATATAGGCACCGATCTAGTCTGATGAAGTAATTATTTTCCTTTGTGTTTGATTACTGTCACATTGACGTATACCTAATATGTTTTGTTCATTTTAATTGCAGAAAAGAATCCAGATATCGCTTGCACTGCTACAGGTCAATGTATAACCAATGCTGAATGTGACGTCGGTGGTACTGATAAATGTGAATGTAATGCAGGTTATACTGAAACACCAACCGTCAGTCCTACCACGTGTAAGTTTGAGTTAAATTGTAATTAATTGGCACATTAGATCTAAACTGGTCAATGTAGCCGTTACATGTAACATTTTATCTTGATATTTCTATGATCTATAATTTATCAGTAACATCAAGGTAGCCAGATACAAGTTACGAGGAGGAGACTCTCAAATTACGGGCATCTATTGCATATATTTTTCGTATTTTCTTAAGAAATATTTGATTCCTGGAATGCTAAAATAATCTGTTTTTATGCTTGGGTTGCATAAAAGAAATGCTGGGTACAATTTGTGTTCGTTACGTTGACACAAGTGTCACTAGAAAGGTGTGGGTGTTGGGCACCTATATTTTGTTACAGGGGTGTTAACAGTTTGCATTCGAACAATATCCAGATTCGTATATTGACTCTGTCCAAAAATTAGATTTATTCGTATGACATAAATGAAATGTGTTTCTATTCATTTTTACTGTAGATGATACAATACTTTACTGTAAAATTTGAAGATTAATACCTTCACCGCAGGTATAAATTTGTTCAATATTCATTACGATATTATGACCCATTCATATATTGTTTAATAAAATTGCCACCAATTGATAAATGATAGGCTGAAATTTTCCATCCATTCATATATTTTAACATCCTGAAAATAGGACATCGGTATTAAACTTATTTAAAGAAGTTACCGTACATTAAACATTGAACTTTATGTTTGTGAGCCGTATGTGTCCGCTAACGTGTGTATTCCAGAAATTATGGTAATTTCCTCATATATCCACAAATCTGAGAATATTTTTGCATAGCAACTCGTCTTTTTAAATGTCCATTAGTTTTCCTAAATGTTCAGTATTCTGTTAACATGTCAACGAATCTGTGTGTATGTCCGCAAAGAAGTGTACATGTTCAACAGATTGTGTATATACTCACCAGTCAGTCGACATGCCTAAAAGTCTGCCTACATGTCCCCAGACTATGTATCTCCGAAAGTCTTTCTACATGTTCACCTGTCTGTCTACGTGTCAACCAGTCATTCGACATGTTCACCAGTCTATCTACGTGTCCACCAGTGCGTCTACGTGTTATACAGTCAGTCAACATGTTCACTCACCGGTCTAGCTATGTTTCCACTAGTTTGTCAACATGTCTACAATTTTGTCTACGGATCCATCAGTCTGTTAACATGTAGACATGCAGCCTTTCTACCAATCGACCAGTCTTTTTGTGAGTCCACTAGTCTGTCATTGGGTCCTCCACTTTTTCAATGTATCCACTGGTCTGTCAATGTGTCCATAATGATTGTTTGGTAACGCTAAACTATTTAAAAGAAGTTTACTATATCCTTCAATGAATAATTAATTTCTAACTGACGTCGCCGCAGTTACTACAGCTTACAAGAAAAAAAAGAGCTTTTCTTGTTACTAGGGGGGAAGAATATGCCTGATCCTGGTTCCCCAGCCCCCCCCCTCCCAATTACGCTGAAGGGGGAAAGTAGGATCATGCCAATTTTTCCGGGGGGGAGGGGGGGAACTGGATCCTCCCGGAAAAATTAGCATGGGGGAAAAAGGCTATAGGAAACCGGTATAGTATAACGTTGTGTTTATTTGACGTGTTTTTCTGCTACATACAACGACCAACTTATGGTGTCTATGATTAAATTTACCGTACTGTCTTCTCAATTGAGTATTTGTCGATTTTTGATCATTTAGGAACAAACTTTTAGGTTTTATGCACACTTATCTAGTTCATGAACTAGAGGCTCTAAAGAGCCTGTGTCGCTCACCTTGGTCTATCTGCATATTCAACAAGGGACACTCTCCAACATCGTAGACGAGAATAGAATTCATGATAAAAATCTCTGTTTTGTTGATCTTGTATTGCTGAACATTTAATCTGTCTAGTTTCTCACTATCTTCTTTAGTTTTTGCTCAAAACACAAAAGAGGGTAGAAAAAAGTCCTTATTAAAGGGGCTGGGCAATCACACCTATAAAGAGTGACAGCCTACTACCTACTATATCAGCGAAATGTGACTTGTTAGTAGATCTTGCCTTGCTGATCATTTTTGCTTATTTAAGTTTCTATCTATCTATTATAATTTTTAAGATATAAGGCAAAAATGCAAAAATTGGTAAAAAAATGGCAAAGGGCAATAACTCTAATAAGGAGTCGGCTGACGATTTCGATAATGTGAACTTATTTGTAGAACTTGTCTTGCTGATCATTATTATTTCAATTTTATGTTTCTCTGTATCTATTATAGTTTTCAAGATAATAGAAAAAATGAAAAAAAGGGTAAAATTTGTCATTTTAGGGCAATAACTCCTTTAAAAGTCCTTTGTCAATTTTGACATATACGGACAATTGGTAGAGCTTAACATTCGGATCATTTTTGCTCTTGTCAGATTTTCTCTATTCATAACAGTTTTCAAAATAATAGACAAAACTTGCACTTTTAACCCTATGTTCTATTTTTAGCCGTGGTGGCCATGTTGATTGGCGGGCGGGGTCATCGGACACGTGTTTTGAACAAGATACCCCAATAATGATTGTGGCCAAGTTTGGTTAAATTTGGCCCAGTAGTTTCAGAGGAGAAGATTTTTGAAAAAGTTAACGGACGACGACGGGCGACGGACGCCAAGTGATGAGACAAAAATAGTGCCAAAAATATTCTGTGTTTCGCAAAATTATTTAATGAAACAAGGAATTACCCAATAATAAGAAGTCCGTTTAACATTTCCTTTATCGAAGTAATATTAATTGAGTTAGAAAACAAATATTGTATAGCTAGTTTTAATTAATATTTTGCTTCAAAACTTTTTTCAGGCAGTGGTGTTGTCAAATTCGCAACTCTGCCATACATGTACGTGGTGCCGATCCTTGTATCCATGATGTTTCTTCTACGATGAATGTTTAATGTAGATCATGTTGGAGTGTTTGCTTTTTGTGATATTTGAATTTCATTTATAAAATGTATATTGTAGCTATACCTTATATGTTTATGTTAGTTGTTGTTTGTTTGTATTTGTGATCTTATTTTTAATTCATGTACAATAGTCTATATGTGTATTATTTTTTGTAATATCTGGTACATGTATTTGGTGTGAGTGATACAATAATTGTTATTATAATAAAATGAAACAATTTTGACATGACAAACTCGTGACCCCTTAATTGCAGATTATAATATTTGGTATTAAGTTATACTTCTGCAAATTAAAAACTAAGCTGATGTGGGATATACATAAATGAAATATCAATCCCCTATAGACAATCATACCTTAAAGACATTACGAGGTCAACATACAGTTTTCAACAGGTGTGAATACATTATGTCAAACAATAAATTCCTGAATCTATACCTATACTGCTGGAAAACGTCATGACAATGTCACTTTTTGATGAAACGGAAACAACGGTAAAATGTATAGTTAAAAGTATAATTTATATATTCATTAGATTGCTATTCGCTTATCAAAGTTGTGCATTAATGATAAAGAAGTGGAATATATATATATATATATATATACAATTCACGAATAAGGGTTCCCCACAGTCTCAGAGTCGCAAACGGGGGACCCGTGAAAGGCAAAAGTAACATAAATTTGAATCCTTTAAAGCGACATGTGAAACATCAAAACAATATTTCATTGCTTCACATTCATTACGTGAAGTCTGGAATATGTTTTCTGTCTTCTTCGTCATCACATGATTTACATGGTGATTTTAAAATAGTATTTTTTTCGATTAACCCGTGTCTAGTACACATATAATTTGTTGACGCTTTATCAATATTTGTGTTTTTTGTTTTATCTTTAAAGCAACAAACACATTGTGTCTGTATGTTTTACTTGTTTACTTACTACTCATTACTAATAAATATGTATCATTCATGTCTATGTCAGGACCAAATGTGTCAGTTTACATTTCATCTTGGAATAAGACCATTTAAAACAAAAAAGTAATAGATTATTAGACAATTTTTTAGAATAATAGGTATTAGATACAATTTCATTAAAAAAATAGACACTTTTTTTTTTACATTTTACACTTCATTTTAAACTTCTTTATTACTTTACAAGTATTTTTAAAGAATTGAAAAAATAAAATGTGTATTAGACAAAAAAACGTTAAAATCTGTATTGTCAAAATGAATTATTTCAATCAATTCCTAAATAAATGTACTATATAATATAGTGTACTCTTTCAAACTTTTATTTTTGACTTGAACTTGAATGATTGTAATATCAATTAAGCTAATTTACATATGTTACACTTGTATTATACAAGTATGCCTTTATGTGTATTCATCAGTTGTGTTATAAAATGTGCAAAAAATATTTTGTCTTTATCACTTTATCACAAATTTGTTTTGTTTTGTCGCATTGAAAATTATAAAAACTGAATACGAAATAATAATAACACTTTATAAATTAAACGCGATTCATTGGGAGAACCGTGACGAATTCAAAACCACATTCATATTTAACAAACATCCAATTGGTTCCCGGTAACGTATGATACAACAACGAACACAATTGCTTGTTTCAATTCGTCTTACATACTATTTAATTATTCCGTTTGCATCAAAAAGTTACTTGTGTGGTTAACAGTTAAGTATACGGATTATTTAGCCGTTGTATTGCGCTAAGGATATAGATTACTACTACATGTCCAGTGTCGACAGGCCGGCTGAAGACATATGTGTGTATCGGTAGAAAACTACAAAAAAAAAGCTTTCAAACATGATAATTTGAAAACAAAGTATAAGCTTGTTCTACTTGAGTAGTATTTGATACCACATAAGTTTACCCACACAACTTCTGGTATGAAGGATCCTTTTAGTAAGTATGTTTGCGTACATAATAAACCAGTAGGGTTTGTCTAAATCATACCTGAACCCTGTTCATGATCAGTTTGCGTGCTTGTGGTTCAATTGAGGTGCAACTAAAGATACTTTAAAGCATGCTACTTTCTCCAGAGAAGCCTTGATTGTCATGTCAAGGGTGACAGGGGAATAAAAATATGGTCACCATTGGTCTTCCTCCAACCGGCAGTAAAACCCTCGCCAAAGTGGGGTATCCGTTTGGCTGTGCGGGATGTACAAGTTCGCAGGCACGTTCGGTGATAATGGGGACGTTAAATCCGATGCCTCGTGTAAAGAGAGTGCCACGCTCTTTGCACGTTAGGAACCCTTGCAACAACTCTTTGAGGGTTCGTAGGTGGCCTGTGGCTAAATTTCTGTCCCTATCCAATATACCCTCATTTTCCCGGGGCAGTCCAAATTTCCCCGACCTTCATCCCGGACGGCCTCTATTATAGGACCTTACTATCGTAGTTATTGTTGATTTGTTCTCGTCCTGAACATGCATGAAATATTTGATACTTTAAGCAACCAACAATCAATCAATCATGTCGGTGGTATACTTACTTTAGTTTGTGAACTGTACAGATTATATATATTATGATAACCAATTTTCTGGAATGATGGGACACAAAATAGGCATGCAAAAATGTAATATTTCATTCCAAACGTTCAACACGATAATGTGACTGAAAACCTAAATATCAAGTCTGGTCGAGAGCGATAATCGGGGAAGCCATATCAATAGTTTGAAACGATAAAATCAACCCAACATATGTTCCTCAAGTGTTACCTTGTGCTAAATATTACATTCTTATCAACGGTTTTCAAATGTAGCAAAATGTCTGCATGAATATAATGACGTATGAAGGATACTTTTATTTATTCTTGTTTAAAATACATTTGAATATTTCTAAAGGAATGATTTCAGTTATTCCAACGCTTTGAAATTGACCTTTTTGTAACACTTCCTAATTTTCAGTACACAGTACAGCGAACCTGGTGGATTTAAAAACTTTTTGTATCCCATTAACAATAACGGTACCATTTTTGTCTGCCACCAGACGCACATTTCGACAATTAATGTATCTTCAGTGACGCTCGAGACCAAAAGAGTTGGAAATCCAAAACCAAGTACAAACGTCGAAGAGCTGATAAAACCAATATTTTAATCTTGATCCGAATAATATATGATTTTTGCATAAGCCATTGCTCAAAGAATAGACACCGGAACTATAGTAATTGAAAACGTTCCGGCAAAAGTTTTTTAGGCATTACAGTTGAATGTCATTAGAATTAGGGGCTCTAGAGAACACAATATCTCAGATGGAGATATGCTCAATTTTAAAAATGAATAGATACATCCAAATCCTATGAAATACATTCAGAAATTTGCTTGCCTCTTTAAAATATTTTTCTAAATTTCCCCTTGCATTTAGAAACCAATAAGAATTAAGAAATATTATGACTATTATTAGAGTACCTGTTTTGAATGAAAGATATTTGTAAATTGACCACCAAAAATGAGACTAAACTCTGGCAGTCATGCATTCCTCCCCCTTGTTTAGATCATTGTCCGAAGAGTGTGCTTATTTCTAGAAAATTTAATAGTGGCTATCCATTCGATTTCAATTAGAAAAGGAAATAGTTGTCCCAATAAGGCTCAAGTGAGAATCTATTGATGTACACATGTCATATATATAATCCAGTCAACACGAAATGGGGATCAATGTTGAAGGTCTTCATCTCATCATTGAAATTTAAAATTTTAATCACTCGGTTTTCAAGTTTTATGTAATTTTAAAATTGACATTTAAAGATCAACAGTTACATCCATACATTATTTCTGATGAGTACGATTTAGATTGGCTATTTGGGTTCATATAAAAAGAACAGAATGGGATTTCTAGCTGGATTCAACAGAACATCAGACATCATTTTTACCAAATTTGGCAATGAAAAAATATGAAAGATTGTTTCATTATTAAAAAGTTTCATTCGTATCACGTTTGAAGTTAGAATGCGAAAACGGCAAATTCGAAATCGATCTGTGTTTGGAGGTATTAAGCATTTTGTGTAAGTTTCATAACATTTGATTGATGCAAACTAAAGTTAGAGAACGGAAACAAATTTCGGACGTACAGATGGACAAGGGAAAGTCTTAATGCCCCCTCCGTCTAATTAATTTCCCGGTGGGTAAAGTTGTCCTGCGAGAAAATATTCTGTGCTGGCGATTTGGTCCTGACCGGTGTCGGTGGGTTCTGAATCTGTGCTGTTGGGTTTGTTTACATTGTATCAGAACAACAATAAAACAAACGTCCTGTTGCTTGATATTTCATGTTTACGTCAAATGTGCCTAGCGAGGTATATTTCAACGATTTGTTATTGCAAAATATGTACAATTCGCCAAACGAATCTGTCCTTGCTAATGATGTGTAAGTGATTTAAATCATACTGGTTCTGTGCCTTTATGTTTAAGTAAAAAGTGGCAAATTTTCAATATCATTGATGCAAAACATTTGTGTAATTGATAGAAAATACGAACAAAAAATACACCATTTGGTGGATGAAATATTTGAGATTAGCAAAGTTAAAATATAAATTAAGAAGATGTGGTATGATTGCTAATCAGACAACTCTCCACAAGAGACCAACTGACATAGAAGTTAACAACTATAGGTCAGCGTGCGGCCTTCGAAAATGAAGAAAACCCATACCGCATAGTCAGCTGTAAAAGGCCCCGCAATGACAAACGTAACAATTCAAACGAGAAAACTAACTGCCTGATTTAAGTACAAAACAATGAACGGAAAATAAATATAATATAGTGCAACAAACGACAACCACTAAATTACAGGCATCGGACTTGGAACAGTCACATAAAAAATGTGTCGGGATTAAACAGGATTGAAGTCGCCAACCCTCCCCTAGCCTGGGACGATGGTGCAACGTCACAACACAAGAACAAACTATACAAACAATAAACGAAAACAAATATAAAAAACAGCAATAAACGACAACCGCTCAATTACAGGCTCCTGACTTGGAACAGGCACATTTATAATATATATATAGAATATGGCGGGGTTAAACTTGCTGACGCCAATCCCCCCTCCCCCTAACCTGGGACAGTAGTGTAAAAGGGCTTAACTCATCAAATCGGTATAAAGCAGGTAGAAAAACAACTAACAAAAACACAGACCGGACGCGTCAAGGAACTTTTACATCCCCACAACAAAAAAGACACTAAGTACAGATCTGAGAGTACTTGCAGTTTCTGACAGCTTGTTCAAAGCCAATACCAACTAATAAAACAATCATGTATCTAAGACTAAAGTTAAGTCTTTTTTGTTCAGTTTAATTTTTCATATAAGAAAATATGCATATAACTTGCGGGGTTACGATTCTTATGCATGACCATTAAAATACGGTGCAAAATATCCGATACCAATGTAGAAAAGAAAATGAGGAATGATTACCAATGGGACAACTATTCACCAAATAACGTAGGTGTAAACAACTATTATAAGTCACTGTACGGCCTACAACATCAAAATGTAAAGGATTGGATACAAATGGTGAACATTTTGTATGTGCATGTCCCAAGGCAGGAGCCTGTAATTCAGTGGTTGTCGTATGTTGCTGTATATCATATTTGTTTTTCGTTCATTATTTTGTACATAAATCAGGCCGTTAGTGTTCTCGTTTGAATTGTTTTACATTTGTCATTTCTAGGCCTTTTATAGCTGACTATGCGGTATGGGTTTTACTCATTTTTGAAAGCCGTACAATGACCTATACTTGTTAATTTTTGTGTAATTTGGTCTCTTGTGGAGAGTTGTCTCATTGGCAATCATACCACATCTTCTTATTTTTATATAGATATAGAATAACCAACCATGTGACCTCTCGTTAGTCCGAAAACCATTATTCCATCATCCCATTATTCCGACATAAAAATGGTGAACATACTAGTAGATATAGAATATATTCACGTTCGATTAGTGATAACTGTATAAGGTACTTTTCTAAACCAAACATTGTTTTGAACAGATCGTAATATTCCCCTGTAGAAGAATTGTCAACAAATAATACATGATGGTCTTGAAGTATAGATTGTATGTACACTGTGTCTAAACTACCCCGGCAAAAATGTTTGTACTCGATAGTATCTAATGTCCGGTACGATGACGGACAATCGACAGAGAAAAGGTAGAATTTCTGTTTATTTATTTGTTTTTTTTTAATGACATTGAAGAATAAACATACACATATAACTATTTTCGATTGTGTGATGTAATATTTTCTACAACCGTTCTAGATTAATGGAGAAATAAGTCAAAAGGCACGTGAAAACAGTGAATTGAGTGAACCTTGCTACGAATTTGTTTAATTTCTTTTAAATTGTGCACATTGTACGGAAAGAAAAGTACGGAAAGAAAGATAGTAACACAGAGATTGCATGGCTAGTCACTA